TTATTTGCATTTGTTGAACAGTAATGCTTGTTGTCACAACTTGCAGCTGCTTTTGTTGTGCAGTAATATTCGCTGTTACAACAGACATCTGTTCTTTAAAGACATTGAGCTGTTCCAGCAGAGGACGCATGACCTCTGTCTACCGCCTTCGTCATCTCCCTGGTCGTTTCCGGGGACTCTAGTTTCGCTTTAAAAAGTTTCTCTGTCTCTGTCCCTCTTCCCCACCATCTTTTTCTCGTTTGTTTGCTTTCGCAATAAATTTTAAAGTCTCTGAATATGCGCTTATCTGTATAGCTTGATGGATGAGTACTTCTGGGCAATTTTTGTTTATTCTTCCACTCCCTCCACTTTCACTCAATGATTTATGGGCATGGGAGGCGTCCCTCCCACCACTCGCTTCTGCCGTTTCGCCGCTTTGGGTAAGGAGTGTCTTTTCGTTTAAAAATCAGTTCTCATTTGACTCACGTTCATAGTTGGTCTTCCGACCCCTCTTCATTCATCATTTCAAACGCCTGATCTCCTGTGCTTGACCCGGCTAGCTTCACTTGTACCATCAGGTCTCTCGGCTGGACGGACCACTGGAGCAAGGGGGAGCCTCGATTCTCTGGCATTCGGCCAGAGAAGAGGCTACCCCCTCAAAGCTCCTTGGCAAGTGCCCTTCCCCGGGCTCCTGGGGGGGGGTTACGAGCCTGCTCACCCCCTCCGTCCGCCAGAGCACGGAGACACCCCCGGGAGGTCCGGGAGGTGAGTCCGTGAGCGTGCCACCATCAACCGGAAGTCCGTTCTTTCCCTTCCTTATTGTTATCTGTGATGTGCCTAATTTTACATGACATTCCCTCCAGTTAAGGACCAGATTGTGGCCTTCTCTTCTTCCATTCTCAGCACTGTAGACAAACTCTGCCCTGCCCACTTGTCTCAGTTCTCTGTGTTCAGTCTGATTTGTGTGACCTATGTTGCATTTGCTTCTGATCAAGGGGCCCTGGCAGGAAAGGACAGGGGAGCAGCAGAATCCCCTTATTCCTGGGACAAGAAGATCTGACCTGGAATTTTTTAAAGGGGTAGGGGGTTGGCCTGGGTTGTACCACTAAACTTGATCCTTCCTGTCAGTGGAAGAGTTTGGGGCTATAATTTACATGCAAGAGCTCAGAGCAAGAGAGCTCAAAATAACTTGAATGGCTCTACAAGATAATGAAATAATGAATGAAAGCATCATGCGAAGAGGCCAAAGTGAGTTGTATACAAATCTTTTGTGTACCTGGTTCTCTCTCCACAATGAATGCAGATGTATTGGCAAGAAAGTAATTTCCAATGATGGACAGTAAGGCCATCAAAAAGCAACTATGGGGCTACCTTGGGGTGTTGGTACCTCTGTATTGGTTTCTAAAAGCCACTCCATGTGAAAGAGAAGGGGCCATATTAAAGGTAAGTGCAAATTCATTCCTTAATTTAAGCACTGCATTTAACACCCTGCTGGCTACCCATTGCCTTGTCAATGTTGTTTGTGTGTGTACTTCTGGTGATTGCCCTCTCATGCCTTAGAACTATAAGGAGAGGCAGAAGTGCATATTGATTAATGATGCTTAAAATTATACACTATTGCCCTTGCGATGAAAGATCTGCACTGGCTGCCGAAGTGTTCCCGGCACAATTTAAAGTGCTGGTTCTTGCCTTTATTTATATTGCACATTTTTATTCTGCCCTTCCTCCAAGGACATAAAGGCAGCACACACTGTTCTCCTCCATTTTACCTTCACCCCCCCCCCGAAGTAGGTTAGGCTGAAAGAGAGTGACTGATCCAGGTCACCTGGCAAGCCTCATGGCAGAGCAGGTTTTTCAGCCCCGGTCTCCCAAATCCTACTCCAACACCACACCCTTAACAGCTCAAGATCTGGTACAGCCAATATTATCATGACCCTGTGCAGATCTATGGTGTGGCCTCATTTGGAATACTGGATGCAGTTCTGGTCACTGTACCTCAAAAAGGACATCACAGAGATGGAAAAAGCACACAAGAGGGCAACCAAGATGATTAGGGGGTTGGTGTACCTTTTCTGTGAGGAAAAGCTTGACAGCCTAGGCCTTTTCAGTCTAGAAGATGGATAAGGGGAGACATGAGAGTGGTTTATAAAAATATGCATGAGGTAGAAACCCTGACTAAAAAAAAGACTGAAGAGTTCAGAAGAGAGACAACTGTGGGGGGACATGACAGAGTGAATAATTTTAATTATGTATGGAGTGGAGAGAATTGACAAAAAGAACATTTTCTCTCTCTCCCAAAATACTAGGACTAGAATGATGAAAGCTGATGGGCAGTAGATTTGGGACAGACAAAGGAAATACTTCTTTACACAACAAGTGATTAACATGCAGAATTTGTTGCCAGAGGATGTAGTGATGGCCATAGCTGGCTTTAAAAGGGTTTTTTTGACAGATTCACAGAGGATATCAGTAGCTACTAACTATGGTGACTAAAGGGAAGCTTCACATTCAGAGGCAATAACTCTCTGATACTAGCACCAGGGGAAGGCCTCAGCTTCTATGCCCTGCTATTGGTCCTCCATAGTAACTGGTTGGCCACTGTTTGACACAGGATTCTGGACTAGGTGGACCACTGGTCTGATCCAGCAGAGTTCTTCTTATGTTCTTACCTGAAAGTCAATCTCCTCCTGTACCAGTTAAGACCATCTTTCAAGGACTTCTCTTGATGCCTGCACCCACAGAAGCAAGGCAAGCAACAACCATCAATGGGACCTTCTCAGAAATATCCCCACCTTGAAGCTCATCTAGCACTTATATTCCTGGCTTTTAAGGCACCAGGCCAAACCATTTTTCATTCACCCAGATTTTCAACTAGCTCCTTGCCCTGCTCTGCCCTCACTCTTAATCTTCTACTGATTTACTGGCTGCTGTTTTTTTTTTTTTAAATAAGTATAATTGGTGCTACTACTGCTCTTTTGTTTGAGGCTTTTTTGTTATTTTATTTGATGCTAGAGTTGCCAGGTCCTCCCTGGCCACTGGGGCAGGATTGCCAGCTCCAGGTTGGGGGATTCCTGGAGATCTGAGGGTAGAGCCTGCGGAGGCCAGGATATAGCACCCTGGAGTCCTCTCTCCAAAGCATCCATTTTCTCAAGGGGAACTGATCTCTAGTCTGGAGACGAGCTGTAATTCCAGGGAATCCCCAGGTCTCACCTGGAGGCTGGCATCATTATTTTGACTGTCTCAAGCAACTTCAGAGATAACGGGACATAAAATTATTATGTTTACGAACATGCTGTCTTTATTTTCTAAAGACTTGCAACCTGGTGCTATTTTCCCAAGTCTGCACTCGACCTACGTGAATCAACATTAAATAACCACTCCTAGAAAACCAGTGAAGTCCAATCTTATGCATCTCTCAGAGACCAGTCCCACTGTATATATGGCAACAAGCCTCCCTGAACACCATGCAACAGCAGGCCCGTAGCGACAGTGGGGCATTTCAGGGCTCTGCCCCCTCAAATGTGAGGCATGCCACACAACTAATGCTGCCCCCCCTCCCCTCACATTAGGCTCTCCAGCTGATTGACCGGAGCATGTGGCCTGCCAATCAACTGGAGATCCCTTTAAATCTTGCAGGGAGGGAGAGGGGCAGCCACATGCCTTCCCTGAACTCCAATGCGTTCCCTTTAAATTGTGTTTTTCAAGCAGGGGCTGCCCAAGCCTGAACTTCAAGTGACAAAATCAGCACTTGGAGTTCAGGGAAGGCGTGCGGGGGCCCCTCTCCTGCTGCCCCACAAAATTTCCCCATGCCCCACCACCAACCCAAAATTTCGGGCTACGGGGCTCTGTGATGAGTCCAGAATAAAGCATCTGCTAGATGGAGGGGCAGATTTCTAACAGCAATATGGCAGCCGCGCCTCCACCGCACAACGCGCCTCGAGTACTTCTAAACGCTTACTGCGCTTGCGTCCCCGCGGGTCCAAACGACGCATCAAGGACGCATGCGCAAAACCACTTTGCCAAAGGGACCCAGTTCCTAACTGCACGCTTTTACTACTCGCCCGTACCTGGATTAGTGCCCCACCAACGCCTCCGTGGCCTTTACGTATCTTACAACGACCTGGTAAGTGAAACAAACCACACACTTCCTCCCACTCCCCGCCGCGGCGCCCCCTCTCACCTCAGTGCGAGCGTGGCAGTAGTACGGCGACGCTGGCGGGGAAGGCGTGCCCGTGCCCAAAGGACAGGCGAGGACGCGCACGCATTAAAGACGTGGAAACGACGCCGGCGTGAGGCGCTGTGCGAGGGCTCCTACGCTTGACATTGGTTTCTATAGCAACGGGAGGAGGCGCGGCGGCTTCTGAAAGGCTGTCGCTGCAGCGATTGGAGGGAAATTGTAATCAACGAGATTTTTTTAAAAAATAATGGATATATTTATGTAATTTATTAAAACAGCCCATAGTATTGCTTTGAAATTAAGAACAAAAACAAAAGATAACCTGCGTGGCGCTTTGTTCCTGACAAGGCAGACGCCAGTTGAAGTAATGGAGCTGACTGCTTGATCATCGCGCCGTTATTTCCGTTTTTTGCCAGTCGGGGAACGCCTTCCTCTATAAACTCGACAAGCGGAAATTTACTGTGATTGACACAGCCTTCCCCCTCCGTCAAATTTATGCCTAGCGACGTATGTGTGATGGGCACATTTCCTGCCCCCGCCCCAGCTCTCAGCTCTTGCTGATTCCATGACAGTCGCGGACCAGGTGCCTTGGCATCAAAGGAGGGGAAGGTGAGATCAGGGAGGGCTTCCCTCTTGTGTTTAAGAGGATACTGGAGAACTTAAGGAGGGTGTCCATAAGTTGCAATACGGTGAGAGGTTTTGTGCATCAGCTCTGCTGCTTCCGTTTGGGCTAGGAACACTGTGCATACTGGCAGCGGCTCCATGTCTATCATGATGTTGACAAGAGAAGGGCCTATGCAGGACTCTGTATAGTGTGCAGAGCGTCTTGCAGATGTTGGATGCGCTGAATAAGCATGCTTGAAATAGATACACACAAACAGTGTCAGGAGAGCTGTAAAGCTGTGCTAGTATTCCGTCATGAGCAAGGCTAGGGAGTCATGGGTTGGACCATACCAATTGTTCTGCTGGGCAAAGAGGGGGAAAGACCACAAAACTGATCATGGGGGGCCATATAGACAAAAGCTGTAGGAGATGGAGGCTGTAATAAAGATGGGGAAAGGAGGAGATGGCACAGAAAGCTTGGTAGGATCCAACCCTATGTGTTTGCTCTGTCTGCATCTTTGTTAAATGCGTCTTATACATTCTGTGCATTGGATGAGCTCACTGGTTATTGCAATAAAGTCTTCCAAGATTCATAAACTGCCCCCTGTAGGAAGTCTCCTTAATGAACCAATTATTTCCCAGAGGGCCTTGGGGAAGAGGGCTAAACAACCCCCCAAAGATTAGTTTTATACCAAGCTTTATTTTCCTAGATGTTTGGTATATTAATGCTATTTTATTGCAGAGGTGGGTGGGTACTGTTGCTGCTTTTTATGGCTTTTAATTAAATTGGATTCAGCCCTAATATGTCTTTTAAATTGCCAGTTGTTTTTATGGTTTTGCTTTTGTGGATTAATTGGTTTTATTTTTATGTAAATGTTATTGTTTATTTTTCCCCCTTTAAAATGTCTTGAGTACTTTTTAAAGCTAAAGTGAATGGTGGAAAATGAATAAATGTATTCATAAGGACAAAAAAGTTGCCTTGCTGGACATGAAGACCAGCACTTTGTTTTCAATAAAGGAGCCAGCCAGATTCCTAGGCTCTCACATGCAAAGCCGTTTCATACAGGGTTTAGCTATTTCAACTAGATTTGAGTAGGGCTACCAGTCTCCAGGTGGGGCTGGAAGATCTCCCAAAATTACATCTGATCTCCAGATGGCAGAGATCAGTTCCCCTGGAGAAAATGGCTGCTTTGGAGGGTGGATTGTTGTTGTTCAGTCACACAGTCGAGTGTGACTCTTTGTGACCCCATGGACCACATCATGCCAGGCCTTCCTGTCTTCCGCCGTCCTCTGAAGTTTGCTCAACTTCATATTCGTTGCATCTGTGACACTGTCTAACCATCTCATCCTTTGCTGTCCCCGTCTTCTTTGACCTTCAATCTTTCAATACTTTGGCCACCAAATGAGAAGGGAGCACTCACTGGAGAAGACCCTGATGCTGGGAAAGATTGAAGGTGAAAGAAGACGGGGACGGCAAAGGATGACATGGTTAGACAGTGTCATCGATGCAACGAACATGAAATTGAGCCAACTTCAGAGGACGGCGGAAGACAGGCGGGAGATGATCCATGGGGTCGCGAAGAGTCGGACTCGACTGTGTGACTGAACAACAACAACTACTACCTTTCTGAGGTCCCTCTCCTCCTCAAACCCCGCCATCTCCAAGTTCTAACCTCAAGTCCCCAGGAATTTCTCATCCTGGATTTGGCAACCCTAGATTAAAGCATTTTAGCAACCAACAAGATTTTTGGGGGTGTGAGCTTTCAGGAGTCAAAGCTTTTTTTGTCAGATACCTGATGAAAATCCTGTTGGTCTCTTGAGGTGCAACTGGACTCAAATCTAGCTGTTGTACTGCAGACCAACACTCCTGCCCTCAGAGTCTGTTCCAAAAGTGCCATCCTGTGCAGAGTTATGTCCTAAATCCATTGAAGCCAATGGGTTTAGAAAGGTACAACTCCCTTCAAGATTGAATCATTTGCCTGTCTAATTCAGTATTGTCTATTCTGACTGGTAGCGGATCTCCAGGGTCCTACGCAGAGAAAGTAGGGTACGAAAATGGTAGCTGGATCCTGTTGTTTCTCCTCAGCATCTAGTATTCAGAAGTATACTGCCTCTGTCCATTATCATGGTTCATGGGCGGTGATAGGTCTATTTTCCATGAATTGGTCTCATCCTTTCTACAAAGCTATTTAAGTGAGCGGGCATACTCTCATCTTATAAGAAATGGCAGATCATTTGTAATTAGTTGCTCCAAGTACGGCAGCTCATTGCCCCAGTATATTATGATGTAGGTGCTGTCTCTTGTGAAACCTACCCTGGGAATACCAGTGTTATTTCTAGAGTAACATATCTATTCAAACATAAGGTTTTAATTTAGTTCTGTTGTCCGTGATTGATAGAAAATAGGATTGTGGTCGAGTCTGTGTGTGTTTCCCAGCTAAGCCTGACAACTCAAGCAAGTAACATGCTTACAAGCTTTCAGGATTGCCATAGTGGGTTTTCTGTTGAGCAGCTTCTTGAGCCACTTTCAGTTCCTAGTATAATATGAGATGCTGCGGTCCATTGCCGTTCAGTAGGTATATAGACACACAGAGTGATCATGCAGCAAAAAAGGAGAGGATTCTTGCATCTGTAATAATTGTGTAGGGGAGGGCATTTTGGAAAGTGCACAACCCCAGCATGAAGTTGCACCTGTCAAAAAATCCCAGTTTTTAAAAGTACAGGAGATCCGCCTTGTTTGTATCCAGTTGCTTTAGCTGAGAAGGCAGTTTTTAAACAGTTTCTAGTTTTCCACTTATTCCTTTGTCCTAAACCATTATGTTGAGCTAGCACTGGCTGTTTTTCTGTAGTTTCTATTTGTTCCCTTTATCCTGGCCCATATTTTGAAAATGCGGGTACTCACATTAAATAACATTTTATTAGCCATGTTAGCTCAATGCTACCTCTTTATTCAGAGGTAGTATACCTCTTGATTACCAAACACTGAAGGTGACCAATAGAGGAGAGTTGTCCTCATCTCACTTTGTTTGTGAGCTTTCCAGCGGTTGACTCTTACTGGGCACAGCACTGGCCCAGATAGATTGGATTGATTGAGTATAAGCAGTAAATAAACTGTAACTGAGGGAAGCATAAGTATGTGCCCTTGCAGAGACCTTCCGTAGAGTGCTGTGCAGAGTTGCTCTAGGGCCAGTGACACAAATGGCTTTGTACAGGAGTGTACTGATAGTTGCTGAAACTAGGAACAATGTTCAAGTGCTGCACTTGGGCTGACTCCACCATAGTGTTCTGCAAATACAAATGAAACCCCAAGAGCAATGCTTTCTAGTGCAAAATTAATTTTCTTGCAGAAAAATATCATTAGAAGAGAAAGCACAATGGAAGTTATGCGGCCAACTTTAATACGAATTGGAGGACGTATTTACAGAAAAAACCATATTCAAGAGAAGGCTCACCAACATGAAGAGGAGGAAGAGGCATTTTATGCAGGTATGATGCTAATCCTCAATCTATGAATAGTGTGATATTTACAGAGTGTGATCAGGGTTCAGCAAGAGGTGGTGAATACTGACTATGGAAATGTTTTTATGAGATTGGACTGGGAACCAACTTCTTTCTTGTGATGATTTTCAAGGGGATCCCTAACTTTGAGACTTACGTGGCCTTGAGCTGTACTCTGTGACAGTCAAGGCTCAAAAGATTCAGAGATTCAAGATGGTAGGTAGGTGTGCTGTCAGTATTCATTTGAGAAGGAATGTATAGAGATTATCAAACTGTTTATATAGTAACAGGGATGTGAAGGTGTGATGTGAAGAATCAAGCATGTGATTTATCTCATAAGGGGCTGTAGCCCAATGATACTCCATGGGCTTTGCATGTATAAGATGTTTGCTTGTATATGATGCTGGGTTTTTAATTGTTCATTAATTGTTAACAACTTTTGTGGTGTTCTATGTTTTATTCTGTGGGTTATACCACTCTGGACAGGTGGTATGGATATTTTCTAAAAAAATAAATATCACTGGGGTAGGTAAAGAAAAGTGGAAATTAACCCACATGAACTCAGGTTATATGATGTTTAGACTAATAACACTTATTTATGACAATTTACAAAGAAGCCAATGTAGCTTGGTGAAACTTTCAGAAGCCCCGTCCACTGGCCAGGTAAAGGGGAAGAATCCAGAGGTGTTCATGACTGTCATGGTTCCTTCAAAGATGGTGGATGAACAGAAAGACCCATTGGCTTAGTGACATATGTTTAGATCTTGGGGAAACAGGATCTCCACCCTCCGGGGTTACTTTTTGCACCTCTAGCAATCAATCTTAAGGAATCATAGCTGTAGTAAAAGGCTCATCATCACCTTTCAGGAGGGAGTAGGCTTGCAGTTTCTGAGAGCCTCTTGAATTAGACCCCTTTGTCAACATGACCTTAGTCCTTATCAGTTAATTGGAGCCACTTAGTTCCAAAGAGCATCTCATTCTTTCAGGCAAGGCACTGTAGTCAGAACTGGGCCAGGCAGACATTGACCTGACTCAATACGAGAGAATCCATGTCCTGTTCTTCATCTTATTTGCACAAAGTATAGAATTCTATCATTTGTAGCCTTTGACTGTTAAACCAACAAGCCAGCTTGCTTCTTTTAGAAATATATGCAGTCTTATAAGAAAAACATTGACATCACAGTCTTAACTCACAGTATGCAGCAAAATTCAAAAGGGAGTTGAAAAATACCAGCATTAGTCAGTTACATGTTATAGCTAAATGTTACGCATTTTATTGTGGAGTTAAAAGTTTTGGACTGTATTGTCAGATAACATTTGCTTGTGTGAAAGTTTACTTCCATTCCAAGAGATGAATAGTGGTTAATTATAGTGAATTGCTTTTACAAGTAATTTGGACCTGCCTTTAGAAATGCAGATGTAACCTTTTCATGCTGGCAATAGGACTGAACTAAATTGTCATGCTTTTTAAAAAGAAGTGCATAATTTTCTTCAAAAGAGCAGCACTCCCCTAAGAAAATCTTTTGCTGTGAAATTGGGATCTCTGTCTTTCTCTTTACATGCATCTTGCTGGGCTCAGATCAGAATATCTTTGCTGACTGCCTCTTCTAAGATGGCTACAGCCATTCAAAGGGATATGATCACAGTGCTTTGTAGTGCTTAGTTTCCTCCATATGATTTTAGCAAGAGAGCAACAGAACTGTGCTCTGTATATGGGGCTGGAGTATAGCTTGCCTTTAAAGAGGGTGCAGCAGCTCTTGGGCATCACTATAGTTGCTTGGATTCCAGTCTGGAACTCTGTAATCTGCATAGCTGTGATTGCACTAAAGGAATATAATATAACCTCAGTTATGAAGCTCAACATCATCTGCAGGCTCTCTCAGAGAGGGCTGGGACACTTTGGCTTTTGAGGCTAGATGCTGGAGGGCAGAACAGTTGGACCAACACTCAGTGCCACTTCCAGTGCAAAACTGGAAGTGAGATAATCGAGTCAAGTGGCACTCTAGGATTTGCACAAATTCTTTGGTTAGACAATAGAGTTTGGGTTGAATCCTAGAGCGTTGCTCCCAACATGATGAGAACTTATATTATATGTTTGTGTGTCACCCCAGCAAGGCCCTCCCCCTTTTTTGCTGCCACCAGCCTGTGAAGTGGCGGTGGGGAGCAGGGGCGTATATCAGAAGGTCTCCCACTATAGCTGCCCCCGCCCCCCCCCCGTGTGAAACTTATCAAGTTGTTAAATGTATTAAGTGTCCCACATTAACAAGTGTCTAAATTTGAATCCCCCCCTTGGAATTTGAGGACCACGTCAAATGATGCTCTTGCCTCCCCCTCTGATTGGCTCTCAAGGTCACAGTATGTTCCTCAATTTTCATTTGTCATTGTTTTAAAAAATAAAGACCAATTTTCTAGTTCTTGTGGTTGCAAAGAACACAGCTCCATAGCCAGTTTTTTTTTTCTGGGGGTGCTGCTGCTAATTAAATTAATTAATTTAAATCACCCCTCCCCTCTCTGTTAGGGAAGGGCAGCACGAGGGGCAGAGAGAAGCCGGGCGCACAGGCGCACAGCCCCGCTGTGGCCTACCCAGCTGCTACCTCCTCTAGCAGTCGACTGACCCATGCCGGATGCTGCACTTGCCCTCCTTTACCCTCGTGGATGCTGCAGGCAATGGGGACCTGACTTGGGGATGGATGGCTTGCCTGGACGCCACGCAGAGCAGCCTCCGAGAACTCTGGCTCCGGCCCTGAGAGGACAAGCTTTGGGTGGGCCATGCAGACCTGGAGCAGAGGCAGAGGAGAGCATGGAGAAGGATTATAGTTACCTTGGGGGTTGGAGAAATTCCAATTACTACACAATCAGCAACATGACATGGATCAAATCTCTTTGCTCTTACATGCTCTCTTCTTTGTGTCCCAAATATTTTCTTACACAATTACCAAGACCGCTGCAGAGCTAATGAGCAATAACATGCAAATCAGACGTATTTAATCACATTTACCCCAGTTACAAAGCATGGGTTTTATGGTTTCAGATTTTAAAATTATGAATCTGGATTAACTGAATTTTTTTGAAGCACAGAGTACTTGATATCCTGCTGTCATGATCTGGGCTGTGCCAACAGAGGCCTACTAGGCCCAGGGAGCCTGGCTAGCAGTAAGTGAGGCTGGGCCTGCAATTTCCTGAAGCCCCTGAGAGGTTTTGGAGCCAAAATTGACTGATAGGAAAACAGGAGGGCTTGGAATAAAAGATCTGGTGAAGCAGGAAAAGCTGTTCTTCTTTCCAGGGGACAGAGCCTGAAGGGACTGAGGCTGCTGTAGTGAAGAGACCCTCATCCTGAGGGAAGGGTGAGTAGTCTAGTGCCACTTGGAATAGTGGGCTAGGGACAGTATATATTTAGAAGCGTTAGGGCATTTGATTTCTTTTCTTTTCACCCACTTACTGTTATTATTCTGCACCTTGTTTGTTTGACCTCCTATAAAATAAACTATTTTCATTGTTCACGCTGCCTGGTCCTCACGCCTATTATTCGGCCAAAAGGGAGGTCTAAAGGTCTGGGAAGGTGCTCTGGGCCTTCTCAGAGGAGTCTGGAACCAGAGTGGTGGCAGCGTCAGGTGACACCTCACCTGAGCCGTGACACCTGCCCACACAACATATTTATTTTATTTTATTTATTTATCTTTAGATTTGTATCCCGCCCATAGGTCAGAGGATCTACTGGATGAATTTGTGAATGTGGTAAAAGTCAATGCAGGCTAAGAAACTGCAAATTTATCACAACAAGAAGAAAATGCCACTGGCGAGAGGACTTAAAGTGTCATGCTGGATTTAAAGAGTAGCACATTCTGGATGGGCTTGCACTCCCTTTGGAGGAGCAGGTCTGAGGTCTGGGGGTGCTCCTGAACCTACTGCTAGATAAGTGTGTGGTACCTGTGGTTAAAAGTGTATTTTACCATTTTCCGCTGGTTAGCCAGCTGTAGCATTTCCTGGGCAGAAAAGATCTGGCCACTGTTGTGTATGCCCTGACTACATCTAGATTAGATTACTGTAATGCACTCTATATGGGGATTCTTTTGAAAAGTGCTTGGAAACTTCAGTTGTTGGTGCAGAATACTGCAGCCAAGATGTTGACTGGTCATAAGGACTGTATCACTCCAGTCCTGGCCCATCTACACTGGCTGCCAATCTGTTTCCTGGTACAATTCAAGGTGCTAGCGTTGATCTTTGAAGCCCTATATGGCTTTGGACCAGCATACCTGAAGGACTGCCTGCTCCGTACCCAACCACTATGGTTATCTTCTGAGGCCCTGCTTGGGTGTCGCCACTTTCTGGGTTTAGCCAGGCAGCATCCCGGGAGAGCGCTTTCTTAGTTGCGGCACCAAAACTCTGGAACTCTGTCCCAATTGGAGACTCATCTGCCCTCATCAGTTACTGTCTTCTGCCAGCAGGAAGAATTTTTTGTTTCATCTGCCGTTCCCTCAGTGATCCCTCCATCCTGTCTTGTTTTCATTATTTTTATGTTGTGTGTGTATTTTAGCTTTGGTTTTAATTGTGTTTTAATGATGTGTTTTTGTTTGGTTTTAAAGGTTTTTTTTTTTTTAAATCTATTAATCTGTTAGGGGGTATAATTTTTTTTCCCTTGTCAAGTCACAGTGGAACTATGGCAACCCTGTAGTTTTCTTTCTTTCTTTTTTTTTTAAGCCCCGGGAGGGGATTAAAAAAAAAAAAAAAACTACAAAAACTAGAACAGAAAAAAGGGAAAGGGAAAGCTACATATAAGGGAGAAAGTAAAGAACCCACTACTAACTAAAAACCCAAGAGAGGAGATCTCCAACTAGCTTTTTATACTTCATTCAGACTTTTCATCTTTGTACTTCTTATGAACTGTGTCAATCTTTTAACCCTTTTAACCATCCCCAGTTACATTTAATTGCCCAATAACAGTGCCCCCCATCATCCCCTAGAACCAAAGTTCTCAAAGCCACAATTCA